CATAATGAGGAAATTAGTCAGCCTACTGCCTGATGCCCATGGACTTCTCCATCTTCATGGCCAGCAGCGCAACCCCAAACAGTCCCCATGCTAGGTGGTAGCGTGGTCATATTGGCTGCGAAGTTGTTCAGCTCCTCGTCTTCGCAAATGACCATATGCAGGTGACAAGGGAACATACACCCTCTCCATTGGCCAGAGCTACGCCACTCGCCACACCCAGTAACTCAGCAACCAGGTAATCGAGCACAGCAGCCAGGCAGACCGGTGCTATATCACTTACGCAGTGCGCGCAGTTGCCGCGAAGTAGCATACGGTGCACGCGATCCACGTAGAAACTAAAACCTGCCAGCTCCGCCCTTGTAGTTGCTTTCACACTGGAGAAGTGCGTTCTACCATCCACTCGACTTCTTTCGTCACAGCAGCAAAATTGTGAGCAGATTGAAGTGAATACCTTAATCGATAAACCACATCTATTTAGGCACTCTTCGTCGCTTGTGCATTGACTGAGAAGTAGCCTAACCCTAGTGCGCAAAATCACTAACATTGGTTCGCCTCCTGCTTCTGATCAGGTGTGCAGTTACGTCGTACAAACGACTTCTTTTCCTCAAATCGATTCGCATTCCTCCCTATTGCACGTCCCCACCTAAATTATCGAATTAGAAGAAGAAGGCTACTTCCTACCAAACTACAATCTACCATTCTGCAAGTGATGTCGTGACAGGTGGAATACACTTGCGTCCCTCATCGCCAGCCACTGCCGCCGATGCTAATACCTCAAGCGGTATTGTAAGTAATCCTATCCATTAGCCTCTCCTGAGCAGACATGACTGACTGGCATCACCATGCAGCCAACGTTGACAAGATAGGATGATATTCCACCCTCAATTGCCACCGTGTGGAGGCGAATCTGCAAGAATATCCTCGCCGACGCGCGTCAGTGCCTCACTTTGCGCAACTCCACACTAACACCGTCTGTACAATTTTAACCATATCAACTCTGCTGGGAAACTTATCTACCAGCTGATGCTGAGAAGAAATAAACAAAATAACCGTAACATACGAAACCCAATCCTACTAACGGCTTCGCATTATGCGGCAAGAAGGAGCTACCATTGTCATTGTTGGTTCAATGAACGATTGCGCAGAACGTAACTGAGCGCTCGCTTCTTGTAACATTGACTGCTCTCCTTTGCTTTACAGATGCGTTTGTTATGG